ATATATATATGTACTACTATACTTATTATATATTATATATATATATATATATATATCGTTATATATATATATATATATATATATATATATGCATTCATTAATTAGAAACAAAATTCACCTCGTCTTCAGATTCGATCTGGATCACGAGCTCGTACAAGGGCATTGCCTCGTCAGGAATGGAAGAGCGGCGGGTCTGTGTGGGCACCTCGAAGATGATTGTTCTGTATGCGGATTGAAGTGAATACGAAATATGTGGTCGCTCGTAATCTGGAGTAGGAAAATAGAAGTAACCGTATGCGGTTGAAGTACATCTGTTGCAGAGCAAATACTGAATCACGTAGCACAGTCATTGTGGGCACTAAAAAGTACATTGGTCACTAGGAGTCATATCTCGATAGGAGGGACACACCGGCTGTGATCACTATTTTCCGCCCTATTTGCGGCCCAGAAATGCGAGGCATGGACAGGTGACCATGACCTATAAATCTAACAGTCAACTATCGCTGTTTTATAGCGGTGTATTATTTTATATAGAATGCCGATACATAAAACTTAAGGGCAACATAGAACTTTGATTTATTGTGACTAAAAGAAGACTGAAACCACTGGTATTAAAAATTAAAATATAGTATATTCTCTTTCCAGTAGTATTATTGGATAGTACATCCATTGTGTAGGATGTTTACCTGTATCGTGCAGCAGCTAGCCAGATAGTCATGCTCATCCCCTCATAGCGGAAACTGAATAGGTCCTTGGATGACAAAACGAATTCCTGCTTAGTTTGTACCTGATACGCAGGTTTCGGCCACACACTACCGCCACGCGCAAGATTGGCAAGGAGTAGCCATCCAAGTGCCCAAAAGCGGAAGGCTACACTCATCATCGCAATAGGTTTACGAGCCTTGAGCTTCTTTGTTAATCTGCACAATGGTCATTTGAGTTCGGATATCGTTAGTTCGAATTATCCACGTTTACACAAAATGATAAACACAATATACATCCACAAACTTCTTGTGCGTGTGTGGAAAAAAAGCACTTTGCTTTGTTTTTTTTTATATTTAATTTCTATTTCTATTAGAATTTTGCAAGTAGCCTGCTCCTCTCTTTGAAAAAAAAGTGATGACCCCATAGTCATACTAATGTTAGTAAAATGATAAAGTTTTATACGTTTTAACGTAAACGGATGAGCTTGAGAAATACACCTAGTCGAAATCCCGATGGTACTAATTTAGTGCAAACAATTTAACGGTTTAACGCAAAAAGAATTCTTTCGATGTGGACTCTGCTGGAGTCTGGAGTCTGGAGTCTGGAGTCTGGGGTGCAGTGTAAACTGTAAATACATGCATACATATTGTCTCCAGAAGGAAGATTGTTTTTATTCACTGACATACTGTACCACAGGTTGACTATATATCCAATAGTTGTTCATTAGTTTACTATTGACTTCCATTCAAGGACACACCTGCTAACGTGAGCCTATTGTTCATCTGTTGACTATTGACGTTTGTCGAAGGACGCATCCGTCAACGTAAACTTTTGTAACTTTCTTATTTAAAGATGACGGACGACCGCGATGGAATATTTTCGGGGGATTGTCCGGTTGGGATTGTGCGTCGTTGGCTTGCGGAAGCAGTAGAAACGGTATGTACGTATCATTTCACAGTTAAAGAGTAGTTCAATTAAGGCGATTATGCTATAGTGACGAATCCTACATATCTCATCTATTTGAATTGAAGTCTTATAGGATCACAAAGGAAACTGTGTAGGATCATAAACGAAACTGTCTTGATGGCCCAATGTTTAGCTTACGGTCTATACTTGGGTGTTAGGCAATTTTTGGCGGATGGGTCACCTCTATTTCAGATGTCGCGCCTTCTAAAATAGACATAGAGGTGTTGACCATTACGTAGTTTGTGTAATTACTACTGTTGTTGAGCGTGCATGCGCGCTGGGGCGACCAACCACATTCACCACCCCGATGTGCACAAGACATTTTTTGAGTTATTCTCATATTTTGTTTTGCTTATGGTTAAAGCTCGATATTCTTACCTATTGCAAACACATGCATTCACGTGCAAAGCATTCAATTCGTGAGGTATGTTCAACTTATTCGTAAGGTATGTTTAACTGTGGAGATTTGGTTTGGCGACTTCTTCTGCAATCTGATCAACCCAGTGTGAAAAATCGATATCATATAGCAACTGTACATCAATATCGAGCAAACAACTGCTGTGTCGTTTTTATTAGTTTTACAATATCTCATGATGCACACTTTTCATTTTGACATTCGACAAGGTGCTGTAATTCCTGAGAACACCACATGTTATAGGCGCATTGTTCACTCTTTTTCCCATCTGCAGTGGGTTTTCACAGCAAGTGCTCTACGAACCTATGAAGGCTCACATTCTTGTGCTTTCATATAACAAAAAAGGTTACATTTAAATATTTTCTTCGGACGGTCTGATATGCCGCTCAGCATTATTTTTGATCGAGTTTGATAGAGTACGGAAGAAGTGCTATAGTACACACTACCCGCTATTCGGGGCAAGATACGTTGCCAATTGCAATATATTTCAAGTTGGTTCTCATTTGCTCCTGTGTGCTATAATTAGGAGCCCGAGGAAGCTAATGCGATAGCTCTAGCTACGGTCGACAGTACAGGCCTACCGAACGTGCGCATGGTCCTGCTCAAAGAGATAGAGGACAATGCCTTTATTTTTTACACCAACTACACCAGTAAGAAGGCCCAAGAAATAGATGAACCCTCAAGTGGAGACAGAGGCATATCACTAACCATTGGTGATAGTGTTATTCCTAACAGTAGTTCAAGTGCGTGTAAAGCCGCCTTTGTGATGCATTGGAAATCCTTGCATCGTCAAGTTCGAGTGCGTGGCTTAGTGAGTAAAGTGGAGAGCGAGAAATCTGAAGCATATTTTGCGTCACGGGCACGGGATAGTCGCGTGGGTGCTTGGGCATCATACCAGTCACAGCCCTTAAGGTGCAGAGACGACATAGAAGCTCGCATTAAAGAAATATCGGATACACACAAGGAGATCAACCGACCAAACTTCTGGGGTGGGTATAGGATCAAGCCTTTGGAGATCGAGTTGTGGGCGAATGGGCCGAATCGGGTACACGACCGCTTTCAATGGCGGCGAGATGACATTGTGGATCGACACTGGCGGGTGCAACGCCTGAATCCTTGAAAAGAGGTGCCGGTTTAGAACATTGACAATACGATGTATCATGCGTTAATGTGGAGACATAGCGCCGAGCTTGCATAGACAAGTATAGAGGGAATCTAATGCAGTGTATTTACTCTAAACTGTAGAACATCAGTCATGAATTGGAAAGTGCAAGAAGTACAACAAACTCAACGCTCCAATCCTCAGGCGACGTGGGATTCCGAGGGATTCAATTTGCATTAACAGCTTGAGGTTTTTCGCAGCTCGATTTCTAAGGATTTTAAAAGAGACAAATTCGATGCAGAAATGCAGTCCGATAGTGGTGTAGACTATAAGATCAATCTGGTGTTTACACGGCTAAGCCTGCCTTATATCCACTCCAACGTGGGGCGCATAACGCAGAATGGTAATTGAGCAAAGTGCTGGATTGGTCAATGCAGCGTTAAGACGAAAGTTTTTGTGGAAATACTCGATGGCAGCTGATACTAAAAGCAACAAGTCCTTGTAGAAGATTGGGTGGTCATTTGAATACAATGAAGGACAACATATGTGTCTCGTTGCCCACGGGTTTTTCATGCTCTTGAAGGAGCAATTACCAGCGTGTGATGTTGATGTGAGCGATTGACATAGTTGGTCATTGTTGTAACTCTCAGTTGAAAGAGGTTGTCTACTGCAAGCGCATCGAAGACAACAATCGGTCACTAAATTATACGAATAAGCATCACAAGAGTACAGTTGTCACCTTCAAGTAAAGAAATATTGATCTGATCATTTCCGGTCAATTGTTCTCGTCACCAAAGCACCATTCCCAGTCACAAACAGTACTATATATGGAATTTATGGCGTTTTGTAATCTGTGGTGAGGATATAAATTCGATCTGTATACACAGGCGCGACTTATCGGTGCGACGGTGTTCGATCATATTGTGCGTCACAGTCATATATTCATAGTCAACCGATCCTGTTTGTCACACTGCAGACACGCCGCACACGTTGCTATTTTTTTTTCTTAAACCGATCGAATCTTTTACAGAATTGAAGGAGTAAAATGCTTTACTTACTACAACTGTTCTGCTTCATATATAAAATTCCTCACCAATGGAACTTCACTATTTTGCGAAAAAATGGATATGTACTCTATTATTTTTGTGTAATTTTCAGAAAGTTGTGTATTTTTCATTTTTGGCAATTGATGTACCACAAAGAACAGGAGGTCCACAGCCTACAAGCCACAGGTCACAATACAGGCCCAGACTCCACAACCTAGCGCCCACAGCAGTCTTCAGTCTTCACTGACTGTCACCACGGGAGTCGGACTATATCACTACTTTATATATACAGTCAACAGGCCGCGAGATGTAGCTAAAACTTATTGTCAATTGTAGACACGCGGCTGTTGCAAAAACCCATGTACGACAGTCAAGTACACGACAGTGAAGTACAAGATTTACTCAACACTCAGAATAACTTTTCATATGGTACAGAGGATGTTCTGTTATATTAAGAAACGCGCTATTTTAGTGTCTGTTTTCGTAGCTTGTGCTTATGGTGCTGAGATAAGCGTAGAGCTGGGACAAGATATTTCAGAGGCAGTTTCTCGCGCACATCATGGGGACACCATTGTATTGAAAAATGGCAACCATTTTATCGGCAGGCCCGTGAATATAAATACTCAAATCAGTATTGTACCGGAAACAAAAGGTTTCGTGCAGCTTGTCGTACCCGACCAAACGTCTATAGCAGTTCAGTTTGGTGCCTCGGCAGCATTCGAATCTACAGTGGAAGATTTAGTTATACAGACAGAAGATGGCACCGAATGCAGCTTGGTTGAGCCGTACGCAATGCAAGCTGATTTTATATTCGAGCTCGAAAAGGCAACAGTAAGTAACGAAAGATTGAACTTCGTTAGTAATACAGGCCCCTGGTATAATAGAAGGAAACTGACTGATCTACGGTTCGAAAATTGTAAATACAATGATTCTGCGAACAATCCTGTGACTGGGGTTGCGTACAAACTGCTCGGCAACTGTGATGGTCAATTTATATTTAATATTCCTCTTGGGGAGATAGGTGGGAGCGAAGGTTGTGGAGCTGCTGTAACTGAGCATAACACTTTCCAGGGGTACAGGGCGCAAATAAAAGGCGAGTGGTTTGAAACCATCAAGAATGATAATCCGGGGGTGGCTCTGCCTGCGGTCGTTAGTAGGTCTCATAGCGCACAAATAGACACATACATCCAAATAGATACGATCCAAAACATTGTGGTGGCGTTCAATGCGCACTACCTTAGGGACGACATTCGCCTTGCAATGGATGCTGTAGATGCGGGATACTACGACGGCTATCAACACTCGCGAATGCGAATAGAGATGCACATGAAAGCACCATATACAGTGGTGGGTGGCTACGAAGGTGTTGTGATAGTGGAAAATACCCTCACTCAAACGGTACAAGTCAGCGGCTATACTGTGTCCGAGAGCTGCAATCATCTTGATGCAGGCACTATCTGTGTGCAGAAAATTAAGTTTGATATTCAAACCTGTGATATGACTGGGCTCTATACTCTGGTGGATATCCCACTAGGTTGCTCTGAAGCGAGTGCCGATGGTTCACCTATCGACTGTGCAGTTCAGACTGCAGACCAGCAATCCATAAATGTTACATTCCACATGAGCACTGCCAACATCTGCGAACCCCCTCAAGGTTCAAAGTTGGAAAGTCGTGTAACCTCGACTGCTGAAGTGTATTCGGACATTTCGTATTCCACCAAACTACCTGTCAATACCGTGATGGTAGGGGATGTATCGTTTTGGGCTATCGAGTTGAAAGGTCAAGCAGGTGTTAACAACATTTACAATGCTGGAATATTAGCTATTGAGCGCACTTCCGATGGGACTTGTGATTCGTATGGAAACTTCCTAGGCAACTTAAGCTTGTACAATCCAGACGATCTTCCAATTCAAACATTTGATCCCTTCGCGCAAACGATAGAAATCCAGCTACCTGTGACAGCCAGTACAGTACTAGAAATAGCGTCACAGTAAAGTTTAAGGTGAGCATCGACTACGATGATGGCATTACTGGGGCGCCTGGTGTATCAACTCGCAGAGATACGGGCCTTGTAACCGTGACAGCGACTATTGGAGTTATGCATACTAACGATTCGGAACTACGCGTAGAACTTGTGCAGAACGCGTCAGTCCCGAAAACTGAAGCATACGATGCAACGGATGTGGAAAAGGAGAGCTCATCTTCTGGTGCCAGGAATGCTATTCTAATTTCGTGTACGCTTTTGATTTTGCTAATCTGTTGTTGTGTGACCTGCAGTCTGATCGGCTACCATGTGATGAAACGAAGGATACAAAAGCGCAGGAAAGAAGAACGTTTATTAGAGAATAAGGTGCTAACCGAGGATCTATCATCTCTAAGTATCGGTTCAACAATAGCAGGTGTGACACCTCGTAGACCCCGGGCAAAATGTACCTTGGGGGTGCAGAGGCCTGGATCAGTCATAGAGTCCAACCTACAAGCAAACAACAGACACAGTATGATTGTGTCGCCACGTTTCCGGCGCTGTTCAAGCATCATTATTACAGAAAAAGTTTGAAAAATGGGGTAGACGAAAAAAATGAATATTAATACGTCCGAATTCGCGGTTTTAACAGTAGAGAAAGTGTTTGAATAAACCCATCCAATGTATTCCTGGTATATAACGTTTTGGTCTCTTCAAGCTTTGTAGAAGTAGCGGTGTTCTCACGCTTCAATTATGTTGTGTGCGAAGTTGTACGATTTACATAGATTCCAGTGAACCCGTTCATATAGTATCGAAATTCGGTATGCCCCATTTGCTCAAAACAACAGTAATGATACAAACAACTTTGCACGTATGGACAATGCGAATACGTAATCGTCAACATATATGCAGGTTAACACGGATTCAACTTCCGCACGCAGACATGCGTGCCATGAGGATGTTTTGGGTGTTTAGAATGTGTAAGATGGCTATAAAAGTGATAAATAATTGTTAGGATGCCGTGGAATACATAATACTACATATATATATA